TCCCATCAGTGGACAACAGGCTATCGCTGTCCCAATTTTTAAGACAACCTTCTCTCAAGCGTCGGTCACTCTACTGTTTTTCTGCTGCTTTTAAAACAACACTCAAAAGATTTCTATATACTTGCTGAATAGAGAGTGGGCCCACCGTTCCCTCGAATCACCTCCAGTCGAAAACCTGGGCTCATCAGGGTCACCTCCCCGTCGTTAATTCCAGTCACTGCTTCCCCATCCTCACCTTCTGGGACCACCAGGCCCTGGGCACTGTCCTCCAGCCCCTCTTCCCTGAAGCACTGTCTCCTCTAGGCTTTCACTAGGCCACACGCTTGATTTTCCTTCTGCCACACTAAGCTGTTCCTTTTCAAATTTCTCACCGATTCCTCTTAACCTCTGTGACCTCTACATTTTGGAGAGCCCCAGAATTCATGTCAGGCCCTCTTTTCACCCCGCTAGGACTCTCATCGAGTTTCATGGCATTATTGTCCACAAGCCGGTGAACCCCAGATGTGTCTGTGGGTAGACCTCTCCTGAGCTCAGATTCTTGTCCACTCGTCTCACCATCTCCTTAATGTCTGATAGGCACCTCCATTTTCACAAGTTCAAAATCAAACTCCTGGTCGTCCCCTAAAAAACTACTTTCACAGGTTTCCCTCTTGGTTAATGATAACTCTGTCCTCACAACTGATCATTAGGACAAAGTCCTTGGGCTCATTCTGGACTCCGCTTCTCTCATCCACAAACTCAATCTGTCAGCAAATCCTCCACAACATTTCCAGAATCTGACCACTTCCCTCACTGCTACTGCGTCTCTGGGCCAAGCCACCATGGTTACGGCTCAGATGGTTGCCACAACCTCCCAGCCTGGCGCCCCGCTCCCGCCCTCGCTCCCGGCCTATCTGTTCTCAACACAAGTGTCTTCCTATGCAGCTGTCACCCAGACCTTGTCAGTCCTCTGCTCCAAACTCTCCAGCAGCCGCCCACTTCCCTCAGGGAACACAAAGGCCTGGGATGAGTTACAAGGGCTTTCACAATAGACCCTCCTCCTTACTTCTTCCCTCCTCTCCTCTGCCCCACTTACACTAACTTGCTCCTTGTTCATCTTACAAGCCAGGGAGGGGACGTTCCAGGGCTTTGCAGGACTTTCCTGTGAGTTGGCTCGCCCTGTTTTCCCTCCTTTGTTCCTCTCTCTCTCAGGTCTCGACTTAAATGTCACCTTTCTCCCAGAGCCACCCTGACCACCCCATTTCAAATTAAGCACCCTCCCCCCACAACCCCCCCACTCTCCTAAGGCCTCAGGCACTTGTCTTCTTCTAATACGGTTGCCTAGCTGCTTAGAGTCCACTTCCCATTGGGGTGAGAGCATGACCAGGGGGGTTTCTCTTCCTTCTGTTACCCCAGTGTCAAAAACAAGGCCCACCAGGGCTTGGATGATGTCTGTGGGGTGTTTCTCGTATGCGCAAGCCTCACAGAGATGGGAACCACACCTTAACCAGCCTTACCATGAAGGACTAAGTGAAAGACAGACCACATCTTCAGTTCAATTAAGGTACTTAAGACAGACAATGTATCTAGCTGTTCTTTCCATTTTTAATTCAAATACTTTATTCCTAAATAAAGTCATCTGCTCCCAAATAAATCCATCCACTGCCTTTCTTCATTTCTTGAGAGATTTTCACTCATTCAACTAAAGATCAAATATGCAGAATGTGTAACAAAAATACAGTTATGGGCGATCGATTGGATAAATCACCCTGGCTTTTCCCTGATGGAAAAACCATCAATCTGGCAATGTAAACAAATTCAGGAGAGCTTTCAACAATCAGCTCCATTCCTCTCTGAATTTGCTATGCGACCAATCATTTTGGAATAATGGGATTCTCTTAGCAGGCACTTATTAGACAAAAGGTAGCACTCTGAATCAAAAGTTATTTATTTTTAAATAGTGCAAAAGGGAAAGCCCTCATCCATCAAAGTCCCCCTCCCATTGCCAGGCCTAGAATTATGAGGACCAGCATCTCCAAAGAGGGGAAAAGCTGACACGAAGCTTTCAGATGAAATCTAGGAACCCCCTGCCACACTTCCCCTCTGACACTCCCCCAAATACCTGGTTCTTATTTGGGGGAGGAGCTACTGGCAGCAGGGTGGGCATAGTTCATAAGGCAGCAGGGTGCCGTGGGTTCCAGAGCCCTTATCTCCCACCCCACACTGTCCCAGCACATTCAGGTTCAAGCTGCCCCACAGTTTGCAATACCCTGAGTGTATCTCAGAGCTCAGTCCCGTAGATGGCCTTATGACGCAGGTACTCCTCCAGGCACTGAAGGGCTATGTCATCCACTCGTGGGTCAAACTTGTTGGCCAGCAGGTGATGGTTCTGAAGCATCCAATGCAGGTCCCCAGCCCCATAAATACAGATAGCCCGCTGGTGGATTCCAGAGCAAGGTGCATAAGGTGCCCCCATACTAATGTCTCCTTCGTGGTTCTGCCACTTCACCAACCTGGCGATGGCAGTCATGTCTGAGATGTGAAACTTGGAGTGGTGGGGAACAGAGCCAGGCATCCATGGTGCCCGCTGAAGGGTGGCCCAAAGGTGTTCGTCAGGGCTGTAGGTGTCCTTTACCCATTCAATGAGTCGTTGGGATTTGGGGTTCTCTAAAACATGTTGAACAAAGGCACGAGAAGCCACAAAATAGGCATTTCCTGTGAACATGGGTAAGTTTTCAGGGGGAGGATCCTTTTCCTTGTCAGTTACGTACAATGTGTCGGTCACCTCATAGTGATACTTCCAGCGAGATGATTTGTACTCGGTAGGTATCTCTGACTCCATGCTGTTCTTCCCGTTCAACATCTTGAGGGCCCGGACCATCTCAGCATTGGTCTTTATAGGAAAGTCGGTCCCACAGGTGTTCAGCAAGTATTTCCATGGCACAGCACTCTGGAGCAAGTCTTCCATGCAGTTCAGGTCAGCCTGCACCCTGGACCAGGAAGCATAAACCACCCGGACCAACTTACTGGCCAAGAAGACATTTGGGAAGCAGGAAACAATTGCCTTGACTGCTTCTTTGAAAGTTTCTGGGGACTTCTCATCCACATGGATGCAGTAGATGTTCTGAGGCGCATACACAGCTCGCAGCAGCCTTTCAAAATTTTCAATCTTCTCATGGACCACCATAGAGTATGCAATAGGGAATTCAAACTCATCTTTGCTAAGTGGGAACTGTATGAACTTTCTTTGAGCCTTAAAGTGCTCACAGTCTCTGGTCATGTTGAGGTAGACGGCGTCTGTAAGGGGCGCCCGCTTCTTCTTCACCTCCAGGTTATCCAGCTGAGCCTCAGTCACAGCTTCCTGATCCCCTTGGATGATCCTAGAACAGTTGATGGATCGCTTTGCTGGCAGCTTCAGGGACTTGTACAAGATGTCCCTGCAGTGCTGGCTTCCGAAGTCCCTGGACTCCAGATCCAGGGAATTCAAGTCACATTTCAATCTGAGAGAAAGTTTCACTGCAACAATGGTCAGCAGCATGTAGCAGCCCAGGGCCCAGAGGTAATGCCGCCGGGAAGTTCTCTTCCACCAAATCATCTTCATGGAGAGAAGATCAGTAGAGTTTGAACAGAGGGGAGGGTAAGGAAGAAGATGGAATCCTTGGACAGAACAAAATGTCTTCAATTACAAACTCACCCTGAACATATTCACAATCAAGTTCAACTCAAAGTTAGGTAAAAAGATATTTCTTACCTAGACATCACCTTATATCTTCAGTCAATACCTTCCTTAGCAACCTCTTCAACCTGGCTTGCTGACTGAGGTCAATAACCTGACCCTACAAACTAGCTGATTAAGCTGGGTTCCGAATCTAGTCTCTACCCCAGGAGAAAGGAAAGCAGTACTGAGCACCTGCTGACACAGAAGTGTAGATAGTAAGAGGAAGTCCCTATTTACAGTCCTTATTCTTCCTTCTACGTCTTATCACCCTGTTTCTAACATAACTCATAAACGGTGCCTAGAATGTTCGGTCTAGAGAGAAAAATCAGGAAATTCGCAGTCTCAGCATCAGTTCCAAAGGTCCTTTGTAATAAAGTGAATTTCTTGCTCTTCTTTGGTAATTTAATTATTAGGATGTTTTCATCACATATAATTCATTAGTTAAATGTGATATCTAGCCACTCTTCTATAAAATAAAAATCTTCAATACAAAAAATTGGGCGCAATTCAAAAAATGCATTATAATCAAAACAGATAACTCCTATCCAACATCAAAATAAATCTACACACAAAGCTTTGCATATATAATATTTAATCAATTATTTCTATGGGTTAGAAATATTTCTTTACAAGTCTCATTTGATTTTTTACAACATACCTGAAATAAAGTCTTATTAGGTCTCCTCAGACATCACATATGAGAAGCAAATCTGGGGCCCTCCCCCCACCTCTTTTCCCAGTTTTTTGTCTGTAAATCTAGTATGTGTTCCTTCAAACCACCACTACCTTTCCAATATAGTACAGGGTATAGACCATCCAAGAAAATCAGACATTAGGGCCTCCCCCGTGTCGCAGCGGTTGAGCGCTGGGTTGCAAAGCTGCCTACAGCCCCTGCAGCACCGGTTCGATCCCCGGCTGCTCCCCGGCCACCGGAGGAGGGTCCCACATGGCGCGCAGACCTCTCCTGCCACCCGCTGCTCCCCTCAGCAGTGTACTTTGGTCCTTCTGCCTGCTCTGCTCCCCACTCTGGCTCTGGTGAATTCTCTCACCCTCCCGTGCTTCTGACTGTACCCAGTGCTTGTATAAATAAATAAATAAATCTAAAAAAAATTTTAAAAAGAAAATCAGACATTATAGGAAAAATACCTCCCAGGAATGAAACAGAATGTGACACATCCTTCCAGCAATGACTGATTTCCCTTATTAGCCCCATCTTTCTAAGCTTAGGATTGTCCTCTCTTTAGAATAAGTTTTATGGGAATCCAAGGGGAAGAAAATGATGGGAAATTAAGAAAATTCTCACCTTTAACAGTTTATTTCCCTGGATGGGGAAGATCTCTTGCTAGGGCGTATATTCTGTTTCCAAGGGAAGACTGAGTGAGTTCCATGGAAGCAGCTGTGTGAACAACAAATTTCCCGATCTTCTTTCAGCCCCTCCAAAAAATATATACTTTCTGATAGTCACAGGACATCCAAGAAACTGCTTAGCCTCTTCCTTAATCTCCGCAAAGTAGAGAGCACCAGGTGGCTCTACCGTTCACCTTTCAGTTTCCTGCTCTCAGATTAGAGAACACATTCAGATAACATCATTAGGAGCATATTCTTAAGAATGAATCATTCTGGGAAGTGAGGCAGAAAAAAATGCTGGCAATATCTGAGAAGGAAGAAGTTATTTCAACCAGAACATGTGAGTTTGTACCTGTGCTCTCCTGCCGCAAAACCATTCATAAAAAGCTGGTCATTGCTCACTAAGAACCTGAGAGCCTTCCCCCCTTAACAAAGGAGTGACAGAAACACACAGGTATGGCCCCATCTTCTTTTGGAGTTCAGCTGTCGTTCCTTTGTTCCCACAACTTTACAGGAGTGAAGCAAGAAAAATACCCTTCAGAAATTTTGTTTTGTTGTTGTTGTTCTTTAAGTGGCAACTGCACCAATAAAAATCCTTTTTCTTGGTCTGAGACTGCTAATAGTCTGCAGGTTGGAGAAATATCCACAGGGTTCCAAAAGGAAGATCTTCCTCACTAATATTTGTGAGTCCAGGGTTCTTGGCTATCTGAAGAACAACACTATGGACTTCTGGAGTTCACTGAGAGCCCCGGGGGTGGTTTTGGCAAAGCAATGTGGAAAAGGCCTTCTTGAAAATGCCTTCTGACATGGCTTGCCACTGTTTGCCTCTTCCCCTCACTCCCAAACCACTCCTCCAAGAAAGCAGCATTCCTGGTCAAACATATTGAAGTAGTAAATTTAGAAAAAAGAACTTAACCAGGTATGAAGTTGTTAATAACTGAAAATTGGGAGTGGGGTGGTTAGATGATGCTAATTTTTTAGGTAAGTAGCAATGGTCAGAAGTACCTGCTACCCCTAGGCTGGAAGACCAAAGAAAATATTTGTAAATTACTGAGTTTAAAGTAGAGAAGAAGGATGCCAACAACCTGAAATTCAGACCTCTGAGATGGGGACACTACTCAGTTAATGCCGCGGTCTCCAAACTGAGTGGAAGCTCTCCAAAGCTGAGATTCAGTCCTCTTATGAGGCAGCTCAGTGTCTGTCCTCCATTATTATAAACTGCATTCAGTGAGACCACATAAAGAAACTGTCTTGGCCAGGTAAACAGGCGTTGGCATGGTGATGCTCCCAGAAGCAGGAAGTAGACAGGAAGTGAACAGGAAGTCCCGCCTCCTGTTTCTGTCTCCTTTCAGAACTTCCTGTTGGCAAAGCCTAAAAGTGGGCAGCTGGCAGAACACAAACCTGGTTTGCAGTCCACCCTTGGCATAGAAAAGCTGAGTCTAAGAGGGTGGACTTTGAAGACAATAACAAAATAACAGAGATAAGGTAGAGTTGGTTTTATCCTACAAGAATTGTTTATGCAGCCCCCAATACAGTGTAGGAAATTTAGCTCTTCTCACCTTTTGAAACTTCTCTGTTTCTCATTACAGAGGAAGAAAGGCTAGTAACAGGGATTCATATAGAATTAGCTGTATCCCCACCATTATTGGCCCACTCCCTCAGCTCTCATCTGCCAGCTTCCCTTACTCAGACTGAGTGATTCTGTTGTTGAGCTGTAAAATTTGAGGCAAAAACAAAGGATAAACTCTCTAGTGTCTTAACCTAAAAAAATTTCTGCAGTTTGTTTATATCTGATTTTTTTTCCTTTGGTGGTCCCTTTAAAGTACCACCTTCTTACACAAAGAAATGGAAAGACATCCCCTGCTCATGGATTGGAAGAATTAACATTATTAAAATGGCCATCCTACCAAAAGCAATTTATAGATTCAACGCTATTCCGATAAAAATCTCAATGACATTCTTCAACAAAATAGAATGACTATTGATGAAATTCATATAGAGCCACAAAAAATCTTGAATAGCCAAAGCTCTATTGACTAAAACAAAGGAGAAGGGTGGTATCGCACTCTCAGACTTCAAAGTATACTACAAAGCTATAACAAAAACAGTATTGCACTGGAACAAAAACAGACACGCAGACCAATGGAATTGAATAGAAATAAAGCCACACATATATGCACAACTAATCTTTGACAAAGGAGCAAAGAATATGCAATGGAACAAGGACAGTTTGTTCAATAAATGGTGCTGGGAAAACTGGACCACCATAATAAGCAAAAGAATGAAACTAGACCACTACCTCACACCATGCACAAAAATCAAAATGGATAAAAGAACCGAACATGAAATATATAGAACCCATAAAATATACAGAAGAAAATATAGGTAGACCATAAAATATAGACTAAACCATAAAATATATAGAAGAAAATATAGGTAAAACACTACAAGACATACATGCAGTAACATCTTTAAAGACTCATCCCCCAAAGTAAAGAAAGTTAAGGAAAAGATAAACACCTGGAATTACATCAAACCGAAAAGCTTCTGTACAGCAAAAGAGACATTAACCACAACAAAGAGACACCCCACTGATTGGGAAAAATTCTTTGCACTCCATACAACTGATAAGGGACTGATCACAAAGGTCAAGAAGTGGGCAGAAGAACTTAAAAGATATTTCTCCAAAGAGGAAATGCAAATGGCCAACAGGCATATGAAAAAATGTTCAATATGCCTTATCATCAGGGAAATGCGAATCAAAAACACACTGAGATACCACCTTACACCAGTAAGATTGTCACATACCAAAAAACTAGCAACAACAAATGTTGGTGAGGATGTGGTGAAAAGGAACTCTCCTACACTGCTGGTGGGAGTGCAAACTGGTCCAACCACTATGGAAAGCTGTCTGGAGGTTCTGAAGTGTAATAAAAACGGAGCTACCATATGACCCGGCAATTCCACTCCAAGGGATCTACAAAGAGGACAAAAAAAACAATTCAAAAGAATACCCCTATGTTTACTGCAGCACTATTTATAATAGGTAAGACTTGGAATCAACCCAAATATAGATGACTGCATCAAGAAGATGTGGTACACAGACACAATTCAGCAATCAAAAAAGATAAACTCATGCTGTTCACAGCAGCACGGATGGAGCTAGAAGGGATTATGCTCAGTGAAATAAGTCAGAAGGAAAATGAAAAATAAAGGTGGTTTCACTTATAGGAGGAATATAGGGGAACCAAACAAAGGATCAAGGGAAAAAAATAACAACAAAACAAAATAAACTATAAATCAGAGACATTTTGCAGGGGAGGAGGTGGGAGAAGGATCAACACAAGGGCGGGAAGAGCACAAGGGACAATGGTGATGGTGCACGGGTGAACCGGTGGTGGGAATTCTATGGGGACTACACCTGAGAAAACAAACATTGTAAAAAAAATATATGAATAATGATGTAATATATATATATATATAAACTCTGTTGGGAAAAAATAAAACTAAGGTTTTGTTAAGTTTAATAAAAATGTTAAATATCTAATAAAATTAAATACCACCTTCTTTCCCATAAAAATCATATCACTGAGTCAATATCTGATTCTAAATGTAACCAAAATAGCCATCCACTCTTAATTGTTAAGTAGATGGTAATATTAAATTGTGATTGCATTTTGTTTAGAAAATCTACAAATTAAAACACCAAGTGGGTTGCAGTTCTGGGCACACCTCGCTCTTGGCAGTTCAGAGCTAGATCTGAACCTTGCCTCTGCCACTTTCTAGCTGTGTGACTTGAACAGATTTTGTAATCTCTCAGTGGTTGAGTGACTTCTTTCAGCTAATACTAATACCTATTTAGTAGGATTATTGTGAAGCTTAAACAAGATAACATACATGAGGGACTTGGCTTAACATCTGCCATATGCAGCCTCTTGTTGAAGGTTCTTAAGTAAACTCCAGTTTACTTAAGGTCTATTTACTAAGGTCTATTTAGTCACAGAATAGCTCAAAGAGGATACAAGTTGCATTCTTGAACTGTGAACAATGTAAAAGTATTGATGCTGGTGATGCGCTAGACAAGCAGGTAGAGAAGAGCTGGAATTATTCCCTTCTCTGTGCTCTGGTAAAATATGCAGCTGTTAAGTGGTCAGTTAACACAGCAGAGGCCAGGGAGGAGCTGCAGCTGACCCCAGAAGTGCAGGGGAGGGGACAGAACAGCAGGGGAAAAACACGGGGAGGAACACAGGGAGGAGAGGAGCCTGGCAACCTGCAGAGGTCAGGTGGCCGCTGGGAATGATGGTCCAGCAGGTTCCACCATGCAGTCCTTGAAGACAAGATGGGGCACTTGCAAGAGGATACCAGAGAAACCAGGCAAGTTTCAAGGTCAGAACCCAGACCCAAGGTATAAGACCCTTCACTATATTGGAGGCTGTGTAAACAATTCTTGTAAGACAAAGCCAACTCTGCCTGATCTTCGTTTTTATGTTATTATCTTTGAAGCCCACCCTCTTGGACTCAGCTTTTCCATGCTAAGGGTAGACTGCAAACCAGGTTTGCATTCAGCCAGCTGCCCACTTTTAGGCTACACAGCCAGATGAGCCTGGAGGCAAACATGCCCAAGAATCTAGGGTTACATGATGATATTTAGAGGTTTCAAGTACTGAAAATGATGAGGCTACTCACTTCCCTCAAGTATCCAAAATAAAAACAACATTAATCCCAATGATAACTATAAGGAGGTCTAGCAGAGTCCCAGGTTTTCCCACAATGACTGTTAATGTGACAGTGTTTTGAAAATAGCAAGCTGTTCCCAACCACACGGCTTAATCCTTTTCACCTAATCATGAGCTTAGCCTGTCTACCAGGCAAATACATTTGCCTACCTTTCCTGAGTTTATAAATCCTTGTGTTTTTGTAGGAGAGCCTAAGAGTTCAAGCAGAGGGGATGGAGAACTAAGCCTGGGAAGATCTGGGAGAATCCAGGGGATCTGAAAGTTAACTGCGATGGAGATTTAGGGGAACCTACAGTGCCAATAATAGGGTTAGAGAAGGGCCCAGGCAGGAGGGGCCCCTCCATTTTAAGTGGAATTTACAAATTGGCAAATGCACCCTTTTATTTTGTTATAATGGCCATTTACCTTTGATATTGGCAACTTTGTGCTACCATTAATAGCTCCTAGGAGTGTTCTTTATGGCTCAGTACTTAACTCAAGGCCACTCAGGAGAGGCTGCACGCATTCCCAGATAGCAAAGGCAAGACACTGACAGAGAAGAGACTGACTGTGAGGCAGGAAGTGAGGATAAGGAGACACAAACCAAGTTACTGTGTTACTGGATCTACAGGAGCTGGAAAGAGACCAAAGGTAGTGAGGAAGATGGGGTGGAGGTTGCTTTGAGCCCCAACCCTAGTTAATGTTCCGTGCCAGGGGATTCTTGGCAAAGGTGAGGTTATAATCTCTGGCCACAGAGAAGTGCTTCAAAGACCCAATGTGATCAATTTTGTTTCTAATGGGGCTGTAAATTGCAGCTCACACTCTGCAGAGGTTTACCAGGCTGGCAAGGGCACTCTCCGGTCCCTCCTGACAGCTCTGCTCCCTCTGTGATGTGCCGAAGTGCTCCCTGCCCCTAGAAAGCTCCACAGGGCCTGGAGGGAAAGGGAAAAGAGAGTCGAGAGTCAAGAAACAAGCAGCACAGAGGAGGCTTGTGAACACAGAAAAGGAAGTTCCCAGATGAAATGATCCAACTTGCTCCTCCTTTCTACTCATATTCCCAAGGCAGATCATTTGCTATGCGCAGAGATCTTATTTGTTGACTCTCCCTACCCCCAATCTCCTTGGGGAAAGGGGTTTCTGCATTCTACCAAGGCAAGGTTGCCTGTCCCTCAGCACTACAGGCCAAAAGGTCAATGACAGCCAAGCTTCTTCTATGCCCCCACCTCAGAATTCAACAGCCAGTGTCATGGCCTGGGATGGGGACTGTGCCTCCCCTAGCTTTGCCTCTGCACAGCAGTTAGGTGAGAACGTGCAGATGGAGGTCACACTCTGTTTCCTGAATGAACAGCTTCCTCACAACCCCTGGGATGCTCCCCTAGGTACTGGAGTCTTGGAACTGTGGCTTACTAATAGTTACTGGAATTAGTGAATAAAGGCTCCAGGAAGTAAGTGATACACAAAAATATAATGCCACGGAACTGAAGCTAACTAAAACCAAAACAACATTAAAGAGATTGATTTTGCCTATGAAACTGAACTTTGAAAAATGAGATTTGGAGGCATATTAATGAGGTTAGTTGCCTCCCATTGTGTCATTAGGAAGTAACCTTTAAATGGAACCCATAACTAATGGTATGTAACTTGGCAGTTACACTCTGTGTAACAATCGTTGATTGAGGAAGCTCCTTGGTTTTAAGTGATGCAGAGGTGATT